AGAATGTCACAGCTGTAGTGAGGGAAAATTTGGAGGGCTCATCCAGCAAGGTCATATGGTTGGAGCTCAGGATTAGGGAGGGTGCAATCAATATGGGGATTGGATGGTGGTGGGTGCCTTTTGTTAGGTACATCCAGGAGGGTGTCTTGAAGCAATATGTAAACAGACCAACGAGCGAAGTGGTCTTCCTGGATTAGGTATTGACGAATGAGCCCAGCCAGGTGATTGAAGCTTCAGTGGAGATGCATTTTGACCATAATTCTGTAAGTTTTAAGTTACTTATTGTTAAGAATAAGAGTACTTCTTGGTGAGACTACTGAATTGGGAGAAGGCTAACTGGGGAATGCATATTGGGGTGGCTGGCTGAGTGTAAATCCACATCTGCAATGTTAGAATTTTTGAAAGGCAATTTAATCAGAGTTCAGGACCAGTGCGTACCTGTGAAAATGAAGGATAAGGATGGAAAGAATCAGGAACCTTAAGAGGGTGAGAGAAATTGTGAGCTGAGTAAAAAAAAAGAGGTGTATGTAAGGTTTGGGAAACTGAAGACAGAGCACTTGAGGAATATAAAGGATGCAGGAAAGAAGTGAAAGAAGGAATTAGAATGACTAAAAGGAGCCATGAAATGCCCTTGGCAAACAGGATTAAGAAAAATCCTAAGGTGTTTTATCCATTTACAATGAGCAAGAGGGTAGCTGGGGAGAGGGTAGGTCCACTCAAGGACAAAGGAGGGAATTTGTGCATGGATCAAGAGGAAGTGGATGAGATCCTTAATGGATAATTTGCATCAGTATTCACAAAGGAGAAGGACATGGTGCATGTTGAATCTAGAGGGGGTTATGTTGACATTCTAGGGCATATCAATGTGAAAAGGAGATGGTAATGGGTAAAATCCAAATCAACTGAGGATGCTTTAAATCAGGAACAAAAATATAAGTTGCTGGAAATGCTCAGCAGGTACTGCATCTGGTGTCCCTTGTTCAGACCTAATGGTTAACTAGGAAAACGTTGGTTTACATGCAGATAATAGGGAGGTGTTGGGGTGCTCGGGAGTAAACAATAGGTGGGAATATAGCTCAAAGAGAGAGAAAAGCCATTGGATAGACAAAGGACTTGATAATGATCTGGTTAGGAGGGTGAATAGCTGTTAAAGGGGACTGTTGGTGACTCACAATAGGGAGCATGTAATGGCAGAGTATGTGATAACAAGTCCTGGTATGTTGGGTCTGGAGCTCGGACAAGGGGGAGTTCAGCTCCTAAAATTATTGAACTCAGTATTGAGTCCGGAGGGCCGCAAGGGTCCCCAAGTGGAAAATGAGATGTTCTTCCAGCTTGTGCTGAGCTTTGCTGGAACACTGCAGCAAGTCAGAGACAGAGATGTTGGCCAGGGAACAGCGTGGTGTATTAAAGTGGCAGGCCTTTGGAAACTCAGGGTTTTTTTTGTGAGCAAACATAAAAGTTCTGCAAAGTGGTCACCCAGTCGATGCTTCTTTTCCTCAATGTAGATGAGATCACATTGTGAGTAGCAAATGCAGTAGACTAGATTCTGGGAAGTGCAGGTGAAGTGTTGCTTCACCTGGAAGGTATGTTTATGCCCTTTGATACTGGGGAGGGAGGAGGTACATGGGTAGATGTTACACCTTCGCCAGTTGTAGGGGAAGCTGCCGTGTGGTTGTGGGGTATTGGGAGTGAAGCAAGAGTGGACCAGGGCGTCGAAGAGGGAACAGTCCCCACAGAAAGCATACAAGGGAGGGTATAATGTGTCTGGTGGTGGCATCTTGCTGGAGGTGGTGGGAATTGTGTCTGATGATCTTTTGGATGCGGATGCTTGTTGGATGGTAGGTAAGGACAAGGGGAACCCTATCGCTGTTGCGGGAGAGAAGAGAGGGGATGAGGGCAGAAGTGTGGGAGATGGGTCAGACCCAGTTGAGGGTCCTGTCAACAACGGTGCTGGGGAATCCTTGGTTAAGGAAACACATTTTGGAGGCTCCCTTGTTGAAGTTGGCCTCATCGGAACATATGAAACGGTGACGGACGAACTGGGAGAATGGAATGGAGTTTTTACAGGAAGCAGGATGCAAGGATGTATACTCCAGATAGCTGTGGGAATCAGTGGGTTTACAGTGAATATTAATGGCCAGTCTAGCTCCAGAAATGGAAGCAGAGATGTCGAAGAAGGGAAGGGAGGGGTTGTAGATAGACCAGGTGAAAGTGAGGGCAGGATGGAAATTGGAAGCGAAATCGATAAACTTTTCCAATTCTAGATGAGAGAGGGAAGCAGCACCAATGATATCATTGATCTCTCAGAGAAAGAGTTGTGGGTGGGGGCCGGAATACAACTGGAACAAGGAATGTTCCACGTACCCCATAAAGTGACAGGCATGACTGGGGCCCATGCGGGTACACATGGCCACCCCTGTTACCTGAAGAAAATGATGAGTTAAAAGAGAAGTTGTTGACGGTGAGGACGAGCACAGCCAAGTGGAGGAGGGTGGTGATGGGTAGGGATGGTTCAGGTCTTTGCTCCAGGAAGAAGCGGAGATCCCTAAGACCCTCCTGGTGGGCGATGAATGTTTAAAGTGATTGCAAGTTCAAGGTAAATAGGAGGCAGATGGAGCCTGCGAACTGGAAATTTTGAAATTGGTGTAA